CACAGGATGTCCTGGGGTTGTCCCGTTGAGTGGTTCTGTTGGGAGAGGAGGCTCTGGGGTTATCCCGTTGGGCAAGTCTTGAAGGAGAGGATGCACTGGGGGTGTTTTGCTGTGTGAAAGAGGTCCTGGGGTTGTCCCGTTGGGTGATTTGTGGGGGAGAGGAGGCTCGGGGGTTAGCGAGCTGCGTGGAAGCAGTCTGGATAACGTCCCTTTGGGTAGAACGATGGAGAGAGGAAGTCTGGGGGGTGGCACTTCGAGGTCCGCTCTGTGGCGTTGCACAGGAAGCCTGGGTCAGCGCTGAGCGGTGCTGCTCCAAGAAGTATCCACTTTCTCCCCGGAGCTTGGCCCAGTGCTGACCAGCACTTCGGCTCCTGCTGCAGGTGTCTGGAGAGAGGAGATGATTTTTTTGTTTTTAACATTGACTTATTTTTGAGAGAGAGAGACAGAGCGTGAGCAGGGGAGGAGCAGGGAGAGAGGGAGACCCAGAATCAGAAGCGGGCTCCAGGCTCCAAGCAGTCCGCGCAGAGCCCGACGCGGGGCTGGAACTCACGAACCGCGAGATCACAACCCAAGCGGAAGTCGGATGCTTAACAGACTGAGCCACCCAGGCGCCCCGAGAGGAGATGATGAAGGCAGAGCCCACAGCCCCTTCTTAGAGGCTCCACTGTCCGTACGAGGTGACTGCACCCCTGTAAATAAGGCAGATTGGAGGGGGCTTAGTGGCCTCTCTCAAGCTGAGGCTGGGATTTGAAATTGAAAACCCAGCCTGACTCAGTCCATGGGAGGTAGGCTCCAGGGCTGGAAAGGCACATGGCCTGCGGGTCCCGGAACAAATTCATAGAGAACAGTTTTGGCAACAGCCCATGTAACCCCCGAGGGGGGGGGGGGTCCAGCAGCAGCCACCTAGCAACTTCCCTTTCCCTGTTCTACTCCTGCGGTTGGGTTCTGAGAAATTCCCCCATCTCTTCTAATGAGCCTCTTTCCCTGTGATAGTTCTAGAAAGCTCCCGTTCCTCACACCCAGAGAGGCCCTTGCCCTAGAAGCTCCTGTCAGAGCTGACATGAGGATGGGCTGGCCTTTTGTGAACCTGCAGCATTAGCCTCACCAGGGAGTTTGCTAGAAACGCAGAATCTCAGCCCCCTCACCTCCCCCCGCCCCGCCCCGCCCTGGGCACCCTGCCCCGAATCTACGTTTAATAAGATTCCCAGGTGATTTGCATGCACATTACTGCATAAGCAGCCCTGGTCTAAGAGATTATTGTAACTGCCCTAAGCAGGCACCTCTTCACAACTCCCGTCCTCATGAAGGGGCCGCCATGACCTCGGTGTCACCCATCAGCCCCCTTATCCTTTGGTCATCCGGCATGGGGTGGCCACCAACTCTGTGCGTGTCCCCGGGCCGCTGCTTCATCAGGAGAGAAGCAAAGGGTACTGTGGCCTCATCTCGAAGGAACCACAACGGCTTTCGTTAAAGGCCGTGCTTAAGATTCCCTCTCCTCCTGCTTGGGAAAGCTCTGTCTCTTTCCACACTTTCTGAGCTGCTGTCACCGAAGTCTGAATTTCCGGCGCCTAGCCAGGAGCCAGAACCACACACAGAGCAGCGCTTAAATTTTTCGTTGTTGCCTGACGAACTGATGCCCCAACGTGTGTGCTGTGGGCCCCCAGGTTCGCCGTCCCATTCAGGGAGATCCTTTCCAAAAGGGAACCTGGCTAGATCACTCACCCCTGCGTCCAAGGAGGGACCGAAAAGCCATCAGACTGGAGGAGACTGGGGAGACATGGAGACTAAATGCAATGTGGGTCCTGGATGGGACGGTAGGACCTCAGAGGGACAGGAGCCGAAAAACAGGTGAATACAAATAAAGTCTATAGTTTTGACACTAGTAGCGTCCCAATGTTGATTTCTTAATTTTGGTAACTATACTATGGCTCTGGAAGAATGTCCACATCAGGGGAACCAGGCAAGGGGTAGAACAGAAACTCTGTACGCTTTGCAACTCTTCTATAAATTGAAAATGATCTCAGGGGCGCCTGGGTGGCTCAGTCGGTTGAGCGTCCGACTTCGGCTCAGGTCATGATCTCGCGGTCCCTGAGTTCGAGCCGCGTCGGGCTCTGTGCCGACGGCTCAGAGCCTGGAGCCTGCTCCGATTCTGTGTCTCCCTCTCTCTCTGTCCCTCCCCTGCTTGTGCGAACTTTCTCTCAAAAATACATAAATAAACATTAACAAAAAAAAATTATCTGAGAATAAAAGACTGGAAAAACATCAGGGGCTCCCAACTGCATTTGAATTAAATTCCAGAGACTTCCCCTGGCTGGGCAAAGGCTCTGGCCGCCCCCACTGGCCTCCCAGTTCCATCTGGGGAGGGGCCTCGCCTTCTAGTTTTCCATTGTGTCTCCCGGGCTTAGGAAAAGTGCTAAGCACAGCAGAGGAGCTCAATGATACTGTGCTGCCACCCTCCAGCTCTGAGCGCCGCCTCCCACGCCGTGCCTGGGTGCTGGCTGAGATGGCGATTGTCACTCCTCTCAGTGCCTCCCAGCTGGGTCATCGCCCCCAACCTTGGCTTCTTCCCCTGTCCGCCCATCTCAAGAATCCCTTTCAGCCTGGCCCACCCAGGATCTGACTTCACTCCTGCAGCCCCACTCGTGCACACACAAGCCAAGCTCTACAGATGTCCTAGGGCACGGTGTCCTGTCTCTCAGCCAGCTGGGCGTTGGCTAATTCCTCCTGGGCCTCGGCGGG